TGTGTGTGTGTGTGTGTGTGTGTGTGTGTGTGTGTGTGTGTGTGTGTTTGTAAAACAGGGCTAGAGAGACAGCTCAAAGGTTAAGAGCACTGGTTGCTCTTGCAAAGGATCTGAGTTGAATTGCTATCACCTTCAGCTACATAGTGGATCACAATCATCTGTAATTCCAGTTCCAAGGGATCCAGTGCCTCCTCAGGTACCAAACACACACAGGGTACACAGACATACATGCAGGCAAAGCACTCATACACATAAAATAATAACTTTTGAAAACATTCTTTTCTCCATTTTCTATTGGTTTTCTCTTATTGCTTAGTAATAAACCCTTTGAAAATGTTAACCACATTAAGCTAAAGACAGTATGTGAGGGCAGAGAGGCTCCTAGTCTACAGAAATAGAAAGCATGGAGTTAGAGAATAGAGAGACACAAACTAATGGAGATGAGGCTCATTGATCTAGCATTCGTCTTCTGTTGTTTTCTTTTACAAGTACTTATGTATTCAATTATACATAATGTTCTCCAAGTGAGAGAAGAGTACCAGTATGTCAGGATCATGAGCTATTCTTTTGAAACTTAAATATGCCCATGAATTACCATAGCCACTGGTAATTCACAACTCAACTTAGGTGGCAGGAGTTAAGAGTCTATGATTTGCATCCTTAATTCTAAAAAAGAAAATCCTAGGGACTCTTTGATATATTCAAGTCTCTTAACCTCTGGCCTATATTTGCTTTAATGAATGAGGTAAGTTAGGTCTTTACTGGATCAAAAATCAAGAGGATAAGAGTATAGATTCAGGAAAGGAAAGGAGATAGACAGAGAGGTAGAAGGATGGAAAGTAAACATTAATGAATGAATGACAAAAGGAATAAAACAAATGAGAGAACAAGAAAGTGAAAACCCAAAGAATACAATTTCATTCCACTGAAAACAATCTGGAAGGTCAGTCCTGCTGCCTCTTCTGACATTTTGGGACTGCCACAAGCAAGCTCATGCAAACTGTCATCTCTTCCTAGAAGTGCTCTGTATCCCATCATACATGCTCCCACATGCACCACCATGGCTACCTCACAAATATCCTTGAGGTGCTTGATGTAATGACGTTCCGTGCTCATGATCTCATTGATGACATTGGCCCGCATCTGGTCCCGGTTCTGTAGTGGCCGGCCCAGACAAAGGCAATCTGAGTTGGGGTCCAGGTGCCCATTCTGCACGTCACTGGGCCCTTCCTCCACCCCATCCTCCTGGTTCACCCAGAGCTGTGGAAGTAGGCAAAGAAAAATAATAATAATGTGTTAACCTTTGAGAAATTTCCAGCTAAATAGAAACAAGGATAAATGAGTAACTTTATGTATTCACAAAGCCTTCAATCAGAAGCTTTTGAAAACAGTGCCAGGAATGACTCTAGGATGTCTTGCTGGCCCTAAGCATGCTTCTAGTACTCTCTAGGTCTCTAGAAAGCTATCTGTAAACTGGAACATGTTAAGGATAACTGAATCATTTTGAAAAGGGTTATTTTCCAAGAAGGCCTCACAAGAGAGAAAAGTAATAGTAAACAGAAATTAGTCCTGCCTGAACATATTTATGTATCATCTTGGTTTCTAAAACACTGAAAAAAATGTACATTTATAGATAGATTAAAATAGATATATCAGTACTATCTGTTCTTTAAGGGGCAGATGAAGCCTTGAGTTAATGTTTACGGAATATATGAAATCTTGAGTGACTGTATTACTGACAAGGACCAATGCCTTATCCCAGGTAAGAGTACACATAAGGCATGGATGGCAAAGCCCTCCTCTGGTCCAAGTACAAGTATTGACAAATGATTGACCGGTGTGTGCAAAACTTTTATTTCCAAAGGAGCATAGTGTCATAATATGGCATTTAAGTACTTACATTTGGGGTAACCATAGTTGAATACAGAAGTAAGTATCTCAAAATCAGAGTTTTGATATTGATTTTCACCAAAGGATAGTGAAACAATAACCAAACTTTGACTGTAAAACTACTTGGACCTGAAAAGACTCCACCTCCTCAAGAGTGGAGAAAGGCAAAGTTCTAAGTGAAGGTAAAGAAAATCTCCTTTGAGGAAGCAGAATGAAATGTTTAAATTGTGGATGACTTAGTTTGTATCAAGATGATGGCTCATTTCAGTCAAGTTCTAGGAGGAGAAGTCTATGTAGAGAAGGAAGCAAAGATGGGTGACTTTACCAGGAAGAAAGTTAAAATCTGTCATGCATAATTAGCCAAGAAACTTGGGAATTATATTTAAAACTTTGACCAGTTTAATCTTTATGTTACAACTTTTAACATTCCTAATTCAAGAAACTGAGATCAAGCAATTTAGATATATCAACACTACCTGTTCTTTAAGGGGCAGATGAAGCCTTGAGTTAATGTGTGAGGAATAGATGAAATCTTGAGTGACTGTATTATTGACCAGGACCAATGCCTTACCCTAGGTAAGAATCCACATAAGGTATGACAAAGCCTTCCTCTGGTCCAAGTACATGTACTGACAAATGATTGAAAAGCGTGTGCAAAAACTAGCAAATGGAACTTTCTCCTCCAGGATGACTGCACAGCTCACCTACCAAGAGACCTACAGAGACTAGCTAACCCTTCCTCACTGTGCTTGCTGTATATAATAAACTTGATGAGGTTCTGGGTTGTTCCATAATAAGTGTCACTCCCTCAGAATAAGCATAACCCACTTGATCCCAGCATTTCCATACATGTGTCTATTCTTTCTTCACTCCATTGTTACCCGTCAGGTTTCCAGGACCATGCCATGCAAGACATAACACTATTGAGGCATATTTTTACAACAGCTAAGTCTTTGAGGTAGAACTGCAATAGTAGGTTTAAACTCTGTATTCTTTCTTACTTTCATTCCTAGTGGGTAGGAAGCATGATTATTACTCAGAATATCTAAAGATATCACCAGCATATATGGCAATTGCTTGTTGTATACCAAAAGAAATAAATGACCAAAACTTATGTTCACCTAGAAACCTAGAACATATCATCTTCTGCAGATATGTTATCTCTAAGCAAAACATCAATGTGTGTCTTTTATTTTCTTTGAGACAGGGGTATCACAAAGTAGTCCTAGCTCAGTACATAGACCAGGCTGGCTTCAAACTCAAAAAGGCCTATGTATCTCTGCCTCCTAAGTTTTAGGACAGAAGAGCCATGCTTGGCTCTTTCCTTCTTGTTTTGTTTTTTTGTTTGTTTTTTTTTTTCTTTTCAATATGTGTAACTGATCCCTTACTACCTACCCTTTAATTAATTAATAAGTACTTTCTTGAGAAAAGGATCTGGAGGTAACAGGAGCTCCACAAGAATGCCAACAGAGCCAACTAACCAGGGCCCAGAGGGGCCTGCTGAGACTGAAACACCAACCAAGGACCTTGCATGGGCTGTACCTAAGCCTTCTACAAAGATGTAACTGATGGGAAGCTAAGGTCTCATGTGGGTTCCCTAGTAAGGGGAGCAGGAACTCTCTCTGACATGGACTCTCTTGCCAGCTTTTCAATTACTTCTCCCTGGAGGGACTTACCTTGCTAGGCCACAGGGGAAGAGGACTCACTCAGCCCTGATTGGATTTGATTAGCTAGGGTAGATAGGAAGGGGAGCTCCCTTTTTGAGGATTGTGGAGGGGGACCAGGATGTAGCATAAACAAAAAATAAACAAATAAACATTTTTAAAGTACCTTTTTCCTGTCTTCCTAGATGATAGACTGTATCCTGTGACATGAAATTTTCCTGGCACACAAACAATCAGCACAGTGTAAAGAGTCAGGCACAGAAACTACTCCTAGTCCCTCAAGGGAAATTACTAATTAAATAAAATTAGCATCATTACTAATTAAATAAAAACCATCATAAGAAAGCTGTTAACAAATTGTTTTCCCATTCTAACATACACATAATTAGAAGTAATAATTGCCAATAAAACAATGAAAATTTTTGTTACATTACAAATGGAGGGGAGAGAGATGGAAAAAAGAGAAAATACCCCTGGAAATAAAATTTATTTGCATTCCTAACTGTATATCAACACACTAAATCAGGACTTATCCACTGAGTATTCCTGTACCCATGACACACCTATGACATCATCCACGTCTTTCCAATACATACTGTTTTTTCTCAGCATCACGTCATTGTATCTTCTAATATGAGAATAGTAATTTCTGACCAAGAAGAATTTTTCTACTGTTTTCTGTCATTCTTCTTTTATTCCACAGCATTTTTTCATTGAAAATATTTTTTTATACAATATATTCTGATCATGGTTTCCACTCCTATCTTCTCCTAGGTCCTAAACCAAATTTAAGTCTCTTCTAAAAGCTCTCTTACATTAGCTTTAAAATTATCCACCATGGCAAGGGGTTGAATATGCAGTGTTTCTCAAAGGCTTGTGTGATAAATGCATAGTTCCCAGTTGGCAAACTATTTTGAGAAGTGGTAGAAATTTTAGGAAGTAATGCTTCATTGAAGAAATAGGTCACTGAAGCATGTATTTAAAGGTCATAACTGTCCTCAATCTCTACCCCCTCTCTCTGCTTCATAGTTATCATGGGATAAGTAAAGGGCAGCCCACAAAAATGTGAGAATATGTTTGCCAGCTATGTATCTCAAAAAACTAGAAATAGCTCTGCCATATGACCCAATTATGCCATTCCTGGACATGTACCCAAAGGACTTTATATCTTACTATAGAGATGCTGGCATATCCATGTTCATTGTTATTCTATTCACAATAACTATGAAATGGAATAAAAATAGATGTATATGTGCTACCTATAAAAAGTAGAACATTACTCAGTTGTGAGGAAAACTTAAAGTCATAAAATTTAATGGATAAAACTGGAAAAATTAATTACTGAGGTCACCCAAGTCCCAAAAGTGAAATGTGTATCTATCTGTCCTATGTGAGTACTAGCTTCAAATCGTGTGTACTATGGGTTTAGCTTAGGGTATATGTGGTAGTTAGGAAATTTGCAGTTTCCCATTGCATGAAGGAATGTATACTAAAGAGTATGATTTATGGGTGAGATAAAGGCAGAAAGATGCAAGCAGGTAGTGGAGAAATGGGGAAGCTAGAGGACAAGGGAAGAGTTATTCAAAATGAATAACCTTTGTGGAAACCTATAATCTTGCAATCCAATTAGAAAGAATAATAAAAGCTGATTGTAGAACACATGTGATTTCAGACATTGTGGCAATACTGGGAATTAAAGTTTTAAATGGGGCTAGGGACAGAATGGGAGAGAAATGAGAGGCAAGTGAGAGTTACCCAAAACTAAGGATGTGTGAAGAAGCCTTAATGAAACCCCACTAGTATATGCTAACTAAAGCATAATTTAAAAAGAAATGAGTATAAACAGAAGTCTTCCACATGGGAGAATAATGCTGCTCCCAGAAGATGTAAGTTATTAAATAAAAATCTCAGTGCCAAGTACAGGTTACCTCCCTATGAATTATTGGTTAGGGAGGCCCTACAGAGACCCAAAACAAGCCAGTCTATTTTCAAAGCTATCTGAAGAGACAGCAGAGTATTACACAGGAAATAATTTGTACTTGACACTGTAAAGACGGTCAAAAGTAATGGCTAGGGAATCGATAGGCTGTGGGGCAGAACCTACTAGTGGTTTCCTTATGGTCATGTTATAAAATTCCTTTATAATATTTGTGTTTCTATCCATAGGTTTGTGCTGTTCTCAATCGTGCTCACAGAAGCTTCTGATTGTAGTTAAGAGACTCAAACTCTTCCAAATGCTGAGAATAATGAGTGCTCATCCACAGATGGGACATCTGTAACACCACTACCACCACCGCACCTCCAAGGCTCAAGAGACATCACAGAAGAGGAGCTGGAAAGAATGTAAGAGCTGGAGAATGGAAAGAATATGGCATACTATGTATAGGTGTTACATGAAATCGCAGCAGCTCTGTTTATACACACAAGTCCTCCACAAAAGTCAACAAAATAAAAATTACAGCACAGAGCAGGGAGGGATTTCCAGTGTACCACCAATGGCAATTGATAGCTGCTAAGAAAAGGAAAGTCACTTATTTTTGATGTGGGGACAGCGATTTGCAGGTTATCCATGCCTTCTTGGATGACTCCACACACATGCACAGGTGGACACCATTAATTGGACTTAATAGGTTTTAAAAAAAGACACTATTTTAGGAGAGATAGGAATCATGAGGGGTGTGGTGGGAGCTGGAGAGAGTGAGGGAG